TGTAGATTTAAAAGAAGATATTACATACAATCTGTTTACTAAGAACAACATAACCATGTTATGTAGATACAATTCACAGAAAGGCAAAAATAAAGTTATTTATAAAAAATATTATTGTTCTCGCTGGCATATAATCTACAGTTTGAAGATATAAACATTTGCACCAGTACAATTACAAGTCATTATATGAATCATAAAGGATATTTGCATTCATATAGAATTTATAGTTATTGTCTACAATTGGATTAATTTTCTATGTTTATCTATGGCAAGAAGTACTATTTGAATTTAAACATTAAATATGATTATTTGTGTTGACTGAGTACAAAAACATAAAAACCTAATACATCAATACAATAGGTATGTTAATAATTTATTTAAAAAGTTATTAGTATTTAGTACACATTAGTTTTTAATCTGTTTTTGATGTGCATAGCAACAAGCATATTTGCATACATAAGCTTCTCTATTTTTGCAGAATTATTAATTATAAGAACAACTATATTGAATTTATAATGACATTGTGATTATATAGGTTTGAATGAAAATATTATGTACAAAATGAGTAATGAGAATAACATAACCCTGTTACGATGACAAAATTCACAGAGAAGTACAAATAAAGCAAGGTATAACACATTATTTATAATTATGGTTACCTATATTCACTGGATAAACTGGTAAAAATGTAATACATTAATTCAATAGGTATGTAAATAATAGCTTAATTCATTCATAAACTTATTAGTATTCAGTACACAACAGTTTTTTATCGGCAACAAGCATATGCATGCATAAACTTCTCTATTTTTACACAATTATCAATTATAACAATAACTATAATGTATTTATAATGAAATTGTGATTATATAGGTTTAAATGAAGATATTAGGTACTATAAAGATGAGTACTGACTATGAAAAAAACATAACTATGTTATGATGACAAAATTCACAAAGAAGTGCAAATAAAGCAAGGTGCAATATAATAAAGGATATTTGTATTTACTGGTTAAACTGGCAAAAACTTGATACATTAGCACAATAGGTATGTTAATGATTACTTAATTTATTATTATACTTGTTAGTATTCAGTACACAATAGTTTTTTATCGGCAACAAGCATATATGCATGCATAAACTTCTCTAATTTTGCACGATTAATAATTATAAAAACAACTATAATGAATTTTTATTGAAATTAAGTTTATTTAGGTTTAGATAAAGAAATTATTAAGATATAAACATTTGCACAAGTCCAAAACAAGACGTTGTATGATTTATAAAGGATAATTGCAATTATATAACATTAAGTTATTGTCTACAATCTGAATTAATTTTCTAGAATATGGATTTTTTGTCTGGTTAAACTGGTAAGAACTCAATACATTAATACAAAGTGTATGTAAATAATTACTTAATTCAATAAAAAAATTGTTAGTATTTAGTACACAATAGTTTTTAATCGGCAACAAGCATATGCATGCATAAACTTCTCTATCGTTGCATGATTATTAATTATAAGAACAACTATATTGAATATATAATAAAATTATATTTGTTTAGGTTTATATTAAGATATTACACATAATCAGGTAAATTTAATATGTTTTTAATCAATTTGAGAAGAAAAAAACGTGTGCAATTAATAATCATTTTAAACTTTTCACTTGTAATGTATTTATTTAAAAGATTTGAAGACGGTATTTACTTCACATTTATCTCAATATGTTCAAATATTTATCTCGGGATGTGAATTTCCTCAAAATATAATAAATATTACATAAAATCAACATGCAAACTAATTTAATTTTCAGACAGGCTGTTTTACTATGTTACGAAGACACAATTCATAAAAAGACGAAAATAAGGCATTTATAAAAGATATTTGTATTAATTAATAATTTGGAGGAATTGTCTACAATCTTAATTATCAATGTAGATTCCCAATTATTCATCAAGAGCCTGGATTATTTATTTCGTATTTGAATTAGTAATCTACAAACTGGATTAATGGTATAAAATCTTTGATTTTTATTTAAACTGGTAAAAACTTAATACATTAATACATATGGGTATGTTTTTTTGAATACTTATTAGTATTTATTAGCACTATAGTTTTTCATCTGCCTAATAAGCTTCTCTACTTTTTCACAATTATTAAATATAAAAACAACTATATTGAATTTATATTTAAATTAAGTTTATTTAGGTTTACATGAAGATATTACACACAAGTGTTTTATAATAACTATTATTATTTTTTTAAACAAATTGATAATTATTTTATTATGCACAGCAACAATTGTGTGTCTAAATAATATATATTTCACCAAAGATCATTCATTAACAGATTTTAAAATTTAAAAAAAAGTTGGGTTATGTTCAAACATTTTTGTATTTAAAAATAAATATAAAACAACAATAACTTAAAATACAGCCATAAGTCCTAAATATATATCAAGCATAATATTAGGTATTAGATAAAATTAATAAAGCAATTTGTGGTCACAAATAATTGCTAATAAAATGGGTAAAATGCTTAGAGAGTCATAAATAAAATGTTAAAATGATATATAAAATAGTAAAAAATAAAATGATTATAACAATATATAATCTCAATCGTCTGACCCAGGTACCCACTGAGTGTCCATTACAGTTAAATTATGTCCGTTTGTGTCACTTTTATCATCCTCATTAGCACACGCATCAGTCACGGCATTGAAATTAGTTTTCCAAACCATCAACTACAAAAAAAAATTATATATATATATATATATATATATATATATAACCATTTTTTTTTACTATTTACCTGTTTATCAGCTCCGCCTGTTGCAAAATATTCACCATCTTTCGAAAATCCTACACAATTCACAGCACCTTCGTGTCCGGTTAAAGTATATATTGGACGTCCTTCTAGTAAATCTAACACCTAAAATAAATAGTGATTGTATAATAAAATTGTTGAGTATATTTAAATTGATGCTAAATTTTAAATTACCTTAACAGTACCATCGCTGCTGCTTGTTAACATCCAGTTACCATCCGGATGGAATGTTACTTGGCACACGGGGCCACTGTGTAAACGATAATGCTGTATTAATTTGTGCATACGTATTTCATATATTTTTACAGTTCCGTGGCCCAAAGCCACTCCTAAATATCCACTTTTTGGGTGCCAATCTATGTGATTCGGTAAACCTAAAAGAATATGAATTTTTATAGTATAAGCTTTAATTTTATATATTAAAGGCATGAAATTATTACCATGTAGTTCTGGATAACTATGTATGCACTGATTACTATTTTGGTCAAATATTTTAACAGTTTTATCGTCTGAACAAGATGCAATAAGTAGTCTGTGAGGTTGCGAAGAAAATTTAGCACACCGGACCCAATTATTATGACCGGTGTATGAAGCAATGAATTTATTCCTATTAACAGCCCATACTTTTACAGATTTGTCGTCACTGGCAGTTACTAACTAAAAATAAACAAGTTTAATACAAATATTGAGATTATGATACAATTTTAATAACAATCTTTGTTTTTGTGGGTATTTTTACTAACTTTTGTTTCATCTGGAGAGAAATATACAGAACGAACAGTAGCTGTGTGTGCTCTAAATTCCTTACAACCACCATTTAGCTTCGGCACCCACAAACGAATTGATCTGTAATGTTGCAAAAACTTATTACACAACTTTATTCATAACAAATAAATATCATCAATAATATGATATTACTATTATTATTATTATTATTATTACCTGTCCCTTGAAGAAGAAGCTAACAAATGTCCACTTTTCGAGAAATTCACACAAGTAACAATATCTGTATGTCCCAAAATTTGTACGATCTCATAGATTCTTTAAAATTCCATATCATTACTGTATTATCCAGTGAACTTGTACATATCTTTTGTGTAGACGGGTGGAAACTCAAGCCTGATATGCTTTGTCTGTGTCCACGGAAATGGAGCTCTAAGGAAGGGTCTTTTAAAGCCATTTTAACTAAAAATATAAAAAACTAACATTATGATGGCCACATAGGTCAAACGACCAGATCGAGTAATTTAAGACTTCATTGAGATTCAATAATTAAGACTTCATTGAACAAGACTTTTATCAAAGCATACATATAAATATAGATAATGTGCAAAGGATTTAATGGAAAGTGTTATAAAAAGAGAACTATCTAATAAAGTTGTAGATTATTCATTAGCCAAATATAATCGATTAATTATTACTGTTATACAAATTTTGTTCCCCTTGTGTTTAAAAAAGTCTGTTAAACGAAATTTTATGACAAAACCCAGATTTTTAAATACTAATGTAAGAAACACTACCTTATATTCTACTAATTATCAGTCAAGTAAAACTACAATAAAACAACGTTTATATATATATTTTACATTAAAAAAATAAGTTTTGCAACAATCTTTTTACTTGTTTCGACTTGTTAGAGAATTCTTGTTGATTTTTGACAGCTTCCATTGACGCCATCTTTAAAATAAAAGTGCGAAATTCAAATAAGATTGTATATTTACAAATTCTAATTATTTGAGATATAAAATAGATATAGTTTTGTATTTTATGAATTTATTTCATATTTCTTTATAAACCTAAGCATGTCACCAATAAATTATTCTGATTAATGAATTATTATAAAAAGCAGTGTACACAAATTTGAATACGTTCTGTAATTATAATGTATTTTTTGAATGCATTTTAATTTTTCTTTTGTATAATACTGCAATATAATGTATTATTTATAATAATAATATTTTATGATAATAATATTATTCCTATTTTTCGGTTTTGAATTTAAGTGCAGCTATCTTCACATCCATCATCCATCTGTCAGATGTTGCATGTCAAAGTTGACACAAAATTAATCAAAAAATGGTTATAGATAAATATAGATAAAATATATACAATAACTGTTTAAAACATTTAACATAATTTATTATTTACATTAAGAAACTATTTATAAAATATATATCCACCATGAACGTAATTACTGCTGTAAAAATGTATATATCAAAAATGACTGAAGAATCTGGACCAGGAATGAAATTACTGTTAATGGATAAAGAAACTGTAAGATTTGAGTAAAATAATAATAAATACATATAATATATTATATATAATTTTGTAGACAAGTATTGTTAGTATGGTGTACAGTAAATCTGAAATTTTACAAAAGGAGGTGTATCTGTTTGAACGGATTGATTCGAATAGACTTGATGAAGGATTGAAACATTTGAAGTGTATTGTATTTTTGAGGCCTACTAATGAAAATATTGCACTGCTGGCAAAGGAACTGAGGGATCCTAAATATGGATCATATTATATATGTAAGAGTAACTGAATTGTAATTCCTTCTCTGCTAATTTGATTGTAACGATGATTTGTTTCTAATTGTTTTCAGATTTCTGCAACATCATTCCACATGCAAGCGTAAAAAGCTTAGCTGAGAGCGACGATTCAGAATCAGTCAGAGAAGTAAAAGAATTTTATGCCGATTTTTTGGCTTGTGGATCCCATTTGTTCTCACTAAACTTACCTATATCGTTGCAAGGTATAAAATAAATATAAATAAACAAATTCATAATCATTTACCATTATCTTTTACCCCAGGGGGTTCATGGATTCCATCAGCCCTAGAAAGATGTACAAGAGGTATAATAAGTGTTTTGTTATCCCTGTGGCTACGACCTATGATACGTTATAGATCAGGAAGTGAGTTAGCTAAACGATTAGCTGAGAAGACTTATGACATTATCAATAAAGAGTCTTCATTGTTTGATTTTAAATCTGTTGATGGTGCACCTCCACCGTTACTGTTGATACTTGATAGGAGAGATGATCCGGTTACTCCTCTTTTGAATCAGGTAATAGAAATTAATATATATATATATATATATATATATATATTTATATATATATATATATATATATATATATACGTGTATTTATTTACTGTTTTTAGTGGACTTACCAGGCGATGGTTCATGAACTGTTAACATTGTGCAATAACCGAGTAGATTTATCGGATGTTTCAGGAGTTCCAAAGGAATTAAAACAAGTAGTTTTATCTGCAGAACATGACAAGTTTTATGCTAAGGTATATATTTCAAAATTCAGCTCAATTCAGTACAACTTAAGCAATTACAGATATTATAAATGTGTTACAATATCAATTGCAAATTGCTTTGATTATTTTTTAATTAAAGCAAATGCTTTATTTTTGAAATAAACAATTGCAAATTTTATTAATTAAATAAATTATTCTTATCTTTATTAATTAAATAAATTATTTTACCTTTTTACTATTTCTCATAAAATTAAATTATATTTTAAAAATATTCTAGTTGTTTATACAAGTTTTATTTAACTTATAGAATTTGTATTCTAATTATGGAGAAATTGGACAAACAATTAAAGGACTGATGGAAGAGTTCCAAGCGAAAGCGAAGAGTCATCAAAAAGTTGAAAGTATTAAGGATATGAAAAATTTTGTTGAAAATTATCCTGAATTTAAGGTAACTATATTTCTGCTATTGATAGAAAATAAAAATGTTAGCATGTCTTTACGTTTCAGAGGTTTCTGAACATTTGTGTGTGTGTATCTATCTATGGATACAATTTTTCGTCGACGTTTTCGGAAGCACCGCCCAACCGATTTAAATGATTCAAAGAGTATTCGATTTGTATTGATAGGGAGACGTGCTAATTACTTTTTGCTAAAGGCAGGTCCAGCCATTTCCAAGATTCAGATTTTTTTTTTTACAAACATTTATAACATGTGGATCAACCGGCATGAATGGATATCTACAACTTTCAAGAAGTATCAAATCTTCAAAATTAAAAAAAAATTCCAAAATATACCGTTTTATAATAATTTCAGTGGTTTTACAAATGGCAATTTTTTTCAATATTGAGATTTTTCAACATTTTTAAAATGTTCTAGGAAATTCAAATTTCTCAAAAACAATCTAATTTTTCTTTTTAAAAATTTAAATTATGGTAAGCCATACACCATGAATCAAAAATGGAAATTTTTGCATATCTTTACGTTTCAGACGTTTCTGAACATTCTGGTATATCCTAAAAAAATTGATGTGTGTGTATGTGTGGAGACAATTTTTTGTCAATGATTTGGGGCGCACGGATCAACAGATTTGAATGGTTCAAAAAACATTTGATTCCTATTGATAAGGAGATGTGCTAATTACTTTTTGGCAAAGGCAGGTCCAGCCATTACGGAGATACTTTTCGCTTGTATTGACAAAACAATTGCTTTTGAGGATAAAAAATTCTAACATCTTTTTTTATTTTCTATAAAATATTTTTGTAATTTTGGATTAAAAATTCAAAAAAAATACCCAGGCTAAGCGCAGTCTAAGCGCCACTCTGGTACAAATATTTACCCAAGTGCGTTTAGACTGTTTATGTATGAACCATTTTTCCAATTTTGTGAAAACTATTGAAAAACGTGAAAATGCCGCCAAGCTAAGCGCAGTATAAGTGAAAATGTCGCACAGAATTATATGCAAATGCGTTTAGACTGTGACTATATGGGAGCACTTTTTCAATTTTGTGCAAATTAGGCAACTCTTTTTTTTTGTTTTTAAATTGAATTCGAAATGAAATGACGATTGTTAATGTTCTGGAGATAAATTGATTTATTATGTTTTACATTTGAGTTGCTCACAGATTTAACAAGATAGCAAAAATAATGAAAGTTACAGTATTTGTGTAATAATATATTTGAAAACGTTTAAAATTTCTCGAATATTTCATTACGGTACGGGAAGTTCCAGCAATTTGCCTTAAGGCACGATGCCTTATGTTTATTTTTATTTTTACAGAAAATGTCTGGCACAGTTTCTAAACACGTCACAGTCGTGGGCGAATTATCTAATCGCGTTAATGAATATTTACTTTTGGAACTTTCGGAACTAGAACAAGACATTGTTTGTCGATCTGATCACTCTCAACAACTACAAGTAAGTAAATCATATACAACAAATGTAACATCGAAAAAAAAAGATTCCTTTACCATTTATACTTTATCTAGAGAGTGAAGAACTATTAAACAATCCAAAGTTGAGAGATTCGGATGCGTTAAGAATAGTTTTGTTGTATGCTTTGAGATACGAGAAGCATATAATAATGGTACAATTGGTTTATTGGAAATGTTGTCTCAACGCAAAGACTGCAATACAAGTTTGGTACCGGCTTTACTAGAATGGTCAGGATCTCATGTTCGGCAAGGAGATTTATTCGGGAGCGACATTCGGGATGCTAGAGATGCTGTTAGGATTACTAAAAAAATATTCAAGGTAAGAG